CGAGAGGAGAATCCCCATTAGTTGTCAGCAGTAGAGGGCCTTTGCCACACAGCTGGGCAGCTCTGATTGCAGCTAGCTCAGCTGAGTGTGGCATTTCTGTGTAAACCATTTGCAAACAAGCAAACCGTATTAACGATGGCAGAATGATTCACACAGCTGCCAGAATGCCCCAACCTGAGTCATTTCTCTGAGAAATTCTCTTCTAGAAGTCAGACTATATACATCAGCCGCAGCCACAAATACAGACCTGTGTGTTTGCAAGAATGCACTAACACAACTGTATACCCAGATGCTTACCCAGCCTCCCAGACCACCTGTGCACAGAGCTGTGTGTCCATTTGCATGAACACCGTGTACCAAGACACGTGTGCACAGTTAGCTGCATGCTTTATCGCAGCAACAGGTTTTTGTTGAAAGAACCTGAGGCACAGCAGAGGGCTGGGATTGGAAATGGGGAGTGGAGTCCCCCAGCAGTGCTTTCTGTAATGCATGCCACTTCTGAACAAACCCAGCACCCTCCTCAAGCCCCTACGGGTTTTCTAGCTTCATTCACTCATCTGATAAATTCAGTAAAAACAGCCAGCAGCGATGTGGTCCCTACAAGTGCCCTGTGCAGTTGACTACATGGCATCTTCCTCCCTTTCCCTCCATTCCAAAATGGATATCCCCTTATTAATGCAATCACTGGAGCTGTCAAACAACATAGAGGGGCTGCATTTTTCCCTTGTGCCCAGAGTGCAATGCACTCACAGCCTGACTGACTCGCTCTTTTCACCAGGGTCCCAATGTGACATTTTTCCCCAGTGAAACCTCTGGTAAAAGAAAAATATCCAGGATGCCCTACTTGCCTCTAATGATGATAGAAATTTTTTTTTTTTTTTTTTTTGGCTACCAGCAGTCTCAGTTCTACAGATTTGATTTCTCTTTGTAGGAGACAGCATTTCTGCAGAACTCAGCTTGCCTAGTGAATAACAGTTGTCAGGAAGGTTAATGACCTATCTCGTATTCATTTTTTAGGGCTAAATCTTGAAGTTCTCCTACAGCAAAGTGGCTAGAATTTTGCTTGTTTGTTATTTGCTTTGGGGCTTTTATTAAAAAAAGCACATTAAATACATTTACAGTTCCAGAAGACTTTTCATCCCAGAGGTTCCCAAAGATGGGCTTCTTAAAGAGATCTAAAAGAGCTAGGCATATTCTGGGTCTGTTTTAGCTCTTCTTTGATGTCTTAACAGCAAAATATAGGATCGCCCAATACAGCCAGCTCTGGGGTGGAGAGCGGGTTCTGGTTAGCAATGCACAATAAGGAGAGGAAGGAAAAAATATGTTCAGCGACGCTAGGGGAGAAGCCCCTTCTTCGAGGATGAGCGCCGTGAGCTCTTCAAAGCATCTGTATCATTTAAAGACCCCTGCAAAGTGGATCAGAGTGTCTAATCCTCCGCTGGGTTCAACCTGTGCTTCTGGAGCCTCTCGGCATTTCCTAGGGGGAGCGTTCCCCTCCAGCTTGTAAACTTGGCGCATGGGAAGAAAGGTCATGTTTCTAAGGCAGGATGGCCAGCTTTCCCTCGGCTGCCGTTTCAAGTCATTCTTGGCTGCTAATCCGTGAAAGTCTCTGTTAGAAATAAAATAAAAAATATATAAGGAAAAGTGCCATTAAAAAGAGGGTTTATGAGGCAGTCACTTAAGCTACTGACTCTCTCCAGCTGGACAGTGTCTGTTTCTCATTAGGAGCCTGCCTGAGCCAGAGGAGGAACCAGAGCCCCGGTATGGCCGTAAACTGGGCAGGGAGCTCCAGCTTGCCTACCTAGCGATCGCTAATGAGATCTGTGAGTTTGCTCCATGGATAGCCCGGCCTGGAGCGGGTGTGGAGAGCTCTGCCTCTGTTGGCATCCAGGTGACTTGGTTGAATTGCTAGCAAGGATAGTCGGGCGCGGAGCTGGAGACAAGCTACCCACCTGTCACAAGCCTGGCCAAGTCACTAGGGCAGGTGGTTAGATGCCCGTTTCCCACAAAATCAGTGGAAGTGAGAGGTCTGAGTAGGACTCGGGCACCTAAATAGCTTTGAGGATCTGGGCTTTGGTCTCTGTGGCCCTCGTTGTACACTGGGAACACCCCTGGCACCTCACAGGGGTGTTATGGGGGCAGGTACATTGATGCGGAGGCACTTTCATCCTGTGCTAGCAGGACATACAGGCACGTTAGAGGGATAGAAAAGCTTCCTTGGGCATTAACCCTAGATACCCACTTAGACGTCCTGCTCCTCAGGGATGTGAGGAAGTCTCTGCCCCTCCCAGAGCCCGTTTGCTTGTCTCTCAAATGAAGTTAATGATACTCCCCTCCCGAGAGCCATTTGATCGAGCCATCATTTATTTAACTGCATCTAGAAATGCTGTCAGTGCAAAGCTTCATCCGCGTTCCCGTGAGTGTTGTGTCCACCTGTTGCCTCCTCATGTGCCTAGTTTGAGATAGGGGCAATCTTTCAGTGGTGTGTGCATGGATGTGCGCACGTGTGTATGCGTACAGCACCTTGCAACAGTCCCGATCCCTGCACGGGGGCCCCTGGGCACTACAACAATGCAAATAATCAATAATCACGTGCTGTGCCCCAGGCCGCGATGGACGTGGGAGCAGAGTTCAGGACCTCTTGGCTCCCGGCCCTGTTCCTGACCTGAGATCACCTGGCACTTGCCCCTGTTACTTTCTCCAGAAGTCCCCGTTTCTGGCATCGTGACTTTTTTTGGCTCATTAGCTGCAAACACCCAGGCAGAGGAAAATTGTATTGGCCAGTTCTGCATGGAAAATTGTAATAAAACATCTCGAGATTCAAAAGGTTTTATGAGCTCAAAATCACACGGATTTCAAAGACGAAATCATTTGCATAGTGAGCATTTCACTCGGCTCTGGGTAAGGACTCTGAAACCTTAATTTGAGTTTGAAATGATGTGAGCCAAATCTTTAATACAGCCCAGTCTGTCACTTGATCTTTGATCAAGACTGGAAGCCTTTTGCAGTTTGAGAAGGAGTCCTTTTCCTCCCTTCCCATGGAAGGGATCAGTTATAGTTGCCTTGGGTTTCTTATTCTAGCCCCAGCTCTGAGCCTGCATCCCGGTCCGTTTCCAGCTCTCCTGGTCAGGGATTTGTGCATTACAGGTGAGCAGCCCATTTAGCCTTCCCTTTGATAGGAGAGAGGGCTCCAGTGATAAATCCCAGGCTATATTAGACTCTCCCCCGGAGTCTGTCACAGTCTGTTAGCTCTGTAGGAGTCAGATTGTTCAGCCCTGTGGCACAAGGAGCCCATTAGCTGCTCTTTCCTTTTCATTTCTACACAAGTTTCTTCAGACCGAAGCAGGAAAAGCCTCAAGTGGAATTTGTGCGTGTGTCTTGCTTCCCCCGCCAGACCTACGGGCTGCGGCTGAGTAGTCCCGTCCTCATCCCCCCGTTTCCTCGGTTGCCTTTCTAATTGCTGTAACTCTGACCTGGCGGGATGCGGCGCCGTAGGGCCTGAGCAGTGCCGCTCTGACTGTTTGCATTTGACTCCCCGAGTGTCTTTGCTGGAGCCGTTCCCGATCCCGTCCCAATAGGGAGGGGAGACTTTGGTTTGAGTCGTGAGACCCGTCTGTCTGAATCGCCAGCCCGCCCCGAGCAGCGCCGTCCCTGCTGCCCGCCAGGCCCTTCAGTTCCCTTTAGAAAACGGGAGGATTTCCTGGGATGACAGCCTGGTTTTGTTCATACGGGAGAGCGTTAGGGTATTGAACTATTTCCAGGAGAGTCCTTGAGGCAAAAGGATCTGGTGAGAAGGCGGAGAGTTATCATCTCGGCTTACAGGGACATCAGCGCTCATCCCTGCAGAGGTCTGGCATCTCCTTGACTAGCCTTCCTCCTTATCTGGCCCTGTGCGGTAAATCCAGCAAACACAGCAAATCTGTGGACGTGGCGCGCACGTGCACACAGCTCCCTTGCTGGTCTGCGCAGTGCACATTGACCGTACCCAGCCCTTTACTCCGGGCTCCTAGGTCTGGGACAGAAGTTGCACAAACCGGTTTGACCCAAATCAGTTAAGTCTGATACTAGATTCAACCAGGTTGATCTTAAACTAGTTTCAGCCAGTTTGAAAGTGGTTTACAGGCACCGAACTTCTGTTCTGTCTGTCAGTTTTGGATGCCTTAAACCGGTTGATTTGTAACTTCTGTCCCTAGCCCTAGAGACAGGCCTCAGTTCTGCAGAGGAGGCTGCTTTAGAGAAACCCGAGGTGTGAAGTGATGGGCAGAGGCAGAAGAGGATGGTGGGGGGGAAGATTTGTGGGCTGCAGACTCTGAAATCCTTGTGAGAGAGAAATAATTCAGCTAAGATGAAAGACGGCAAAGAAACAGCTCCTGGGAGCGAGAGGGAAGCCTGTCCCGTGGTGATCAGTGTGTTTTTGAAGTGACGCACGCTCATGCGGTGGCTGGTAATGAAACGAGATTAAAGAAGAAACCTGGAGAGAGGGTTTTAGTGTGTGACAGGAGCCTCCGATCCACCTCCTCCTCCTCGGAGTAAAACCCCAATCCTCCAGGGCCGGGGAGCCGAGGCGGTTGATAATGCACTGCCTCCAGCCGCGGAGGAGGAGACGGAGGGTGAGGGGCTCCCGGGGTTTGCATCTCGGGAGATAAAATCCATAACCTTCAGCAAGCTGGAAGGAGGACGGAGTCGTCTATTTGTTTCCTGAATAGCAACGTCTCCTCTCATGCGACTGCAGTGGAGATATCAGCTCCGCGCCTTCACAGGAAATTATGACTGGGGGTTATTTTTCCTGGTGGGCAGAGGAGAAAGGCGAAGAGGATTCACTGTGATCAGACATGCTGGACTCCAGCCCAAAGACCACTGGAAAGTAGCAAAGAACCAGATAAAGACCCAGGCTTTAAACCCAGACTTGTGTCCCGAATGCCCAAGTTCAGTATGGCCAGGCTTAGGGTTGAATGAAGGCACGTGTCCTCTAACTTGGTTTCTGTGTTTCCTCCTTGCAGGACTGCCCTCAGCTCTTTCCCACGGAAGAGATCCTTATCCCCGTAGGGGAGGTGAAGCCCATCACACTGAAAGCCAGAAACCTGCCCCAGCCCCAGTCGGGCCAGCGGGGCTACGAGTGCGTCCTCAACATCCAGGGCGTGATCCATCGCGTACCAGCTCTGCGCTTCAACAGCTCCAGCGTCCAGTGCCAGAACAGCTCGGTGAGAGCCCAGCGCTTTGGGAAGGAGGGGCAGCTGGGGGCACATTGTTGGAGTAAGAGGGAAGACAAAGCCACCAGGGATGGGAGGGAGATGCCCAGTCGGCAAGGAATAGGAAGGGCCACAATGCTAGAAGAGGATGGGAGTGGGACCAGCCATCGATGGCTGCCGTGCAAACAGATTTGGGAAGCCAGGCTCCTTAGGGCACAAGTTTCTTCCACTCCTGAGTGCCCATGGATGGATGATAGTGTGAGGCAGCTGCATGTGGGCTGTTTTGCACCGCTCTCTGCTCGTTGGGACAAGCATTACTTCTGCCTGTAGACAGGAGGGCCAGAGCCATGGGGCTACATCGCTCACCCAAGGCCACGGAGGAAATCAGTGTCAGACCTGTAACCATGGGCCGTGCTTCTGCCTGTGCGTGGGGGTGTTAGTCGTGTATAAATCAGCCACCCCACCCCTCGCAGTGCATCCGCCCTGGTGCTGCCATCAGTGCAGAGGCACTGGGAATTTAAACAGAGATAGAAAAGGCAGAAGAAGCCTGCGCTGGTGAGCTGCAGGGAAGGACGACTCCAAGGGTTAAACTCATCCTGAATTCCAGTCGGGATCCTGCTGTAGGCATGTGAAGGTGTTTAATTATAAGACTGGCCCGGGAGAAGATCCTTTATCTGGCAGCTCCCTGTCTGTGGCTGTGGGGGGTCAGCGGGAGGAGGGAGGGTGGAGGAAAATGCGACAAAGGTGTTAAGGCAAGCTAATTCACTCCAGAGAGATAAAGAGAATCGCAGGCCTCTTATCAGGAAGCTGTCAAATTCCAGGTCACCGCCGCCTGAGAGAACAGTAATGCTGGAAAGCTGCTGGGAAAGAGGGGAAAAGGGACACGGCTGCTGCGGGAGGGGACGTGGTAACGTGGAGAGACACAGACACTAGGGAAGGGCCTCCAGGGAGGTAACTACACCTCAGCCTGCAATGGGCGGGGCGGCATAGCCTGTGGGAGATGCTGTGGCAACTGGGCCAGTGACCTGGAATAACCTAGCCCCTCTTGCAAGGAGGGCTCTAACTTTTTTATATGACACTTGCCCATTATAGAAAATGAAATGGGGACCCTAATAGGCACAGAGCAAACTTCACCGTTTCATCAAAACCCAGGTGCAGGGTTAGGAAGCGCCTGAGAGCACCTGTTTGCAGGAGATGGATACCCACAGCAGGAGGAAGGGCAGGACACGTGGTCATTCCCAACCACGTCTCAGTGGGCCCTTCAGAGAAGTGCAGGGAGAGGTGGCTGGAGTCGCACTGGGATGTGCAGGGTCACTAGTCATTGCAGATGTTCATGAAATGTTGCCTCTTCCAAAATTTCACCAGGTATCTTCACTTCCCTGTAGACCCTGCAGCAGGGGAGATAATACATCTAATAATACTGTGCATCACTTTCTCTTTCCAAAGTGATTTATAAGCATTACCTGGCAAATACTCAAAGCTGTCCTACTTTAGGGAAGCCTTATTATCTCTGTTAAACAAACAGGAAGCCAAAGCAAAGGACTTAAGCACAGTATAACCAAAGGTGCAGACCTATATTGATCTCCACCAAGGGTGGGGATGGGGGGAAACTTCCTTGCTAGGGCCTGCTGGGAGTCCTTGATTGCTCTGCAAAGACTGCCAGCAGACAGCCCAGTTTGTCCTAATTACAACGACCCAACTGGTGAAGTAAACGTGTCCTCCAGATCTGGTCCGACACCTCCAAACCCTTATTCCATTGACCCCCAGACATCCAAGAGAGGGTGAGGAATTCAGGTTAACATCCCCCAAGCTGATTTGAGCTGGTAATTTAATAAGAGCTTCGCTATCCCACTCCCTAACCTCCAGGGCCATCCAGCTCCAGCACCTATCAAGCAGCTATGCTGACAGGAATAGGTCTTTAGTCAGTTGTGGGAACTTTTGCAATGTGTTTTTTCCCCAGCAAGAATGGCGTTTAGAAGGAGAGACAGCCCAGCCTGCCTCCTGGGCAGCGATCCTTCCAGTTTCATTAAACAGAGGGACTGAATTGGTAAACTAGTGTCTGGGTGAAGAGGACAGCCAGCGTGACTGGGATAATTAATCTATTACCGCTCACAGGGGCCATCTACAGCTTTTAATTATCTTTCCCTGGCAAGGAGAAGGGACTCTGAGGATCCTAGCGATGAGAGTTAGCGTTGTCAGTCATGCAAATACCATCATGGGCTTTTAAGTACCGGGTTCTCAAGGTTTAAAAACAAAATCTCTTTCCC